GGGTATTGGTTCCATCACGTCTTCAGTTCTTCTTACTCCATCATCGTCTTTCTTCTTCTTAACCCAGCATCTGTTATTGGTTTCTTCTTTTTCTTATTACTCCATCATCGTCTTTCTTCTTCTTAACCCGCCGGAGTGCGGAGGTTGTTCCCATCATTGAAGTCAGGGTGTGGGACTGAGCCTTCCGAATGAGAAAGAAGAAAAGTGCTTAGTTTCGTTGGAAAAACCAACGCAAATATCATATTGACTTTCTCTCGCCCTACTTCAACATCTGTTATTGGTTTCTTCTTTTTCTTATTACTCCATCATCAGTTCTTCTTTTCTTCCTTTTTTTTGTTTTGGTTAATTGTTCTATTGCATCATAGTAATGGATTCATTAATTAATAGAAGGATATATGATTCCGACGATAAAAATTGGAAAGAAGATAGAAAAAAGTCTTTGCATGATCCTATGAATCTTCAGAAGGATTCAAACAAAGATTCTGGCAAAACATCAAAATCAAAGATTGTCAGAAGCAGCAAACATTGTTGTCAGGCCTACATTGTTTCGGGTTTGTATTTTTTATACTTATTTTAAAATTGTTGTTGAAATTAGTAAAAATTTTAAGGAATCCAATATGTATCAAAAAATTATGAAAGTTATAATCATGTATCAGACAATAGGTTTAATACATAAGTACTAAGTGGATTATAATGATCTCCTATGTATCGAGGGTTTTTGAATTTTTTTATCATGTATCAGTGATTAATTTCAATAACTGCGCCATCAAGTGTGCTTGCTAATACATTTTGAATCAGTGTGTATAGTGTTTTAGACGATACATTGATACATGAATTTGTTGTTTATCATAATATTTTCTGTGTATCATGAGGTTTTGAAAATTGTTATAATGTATTATTCAATAAGTTTAATAACTGCGTCATCAACTTTGCTTGATGATACATATAGATGATACATATGATACATATAACATCAATAAAATTACTGCAATTCGAAATTTAACAGGATGCTCATAAAAAATGTATTCAAAATAGATAATATACTCTTTGATTTTCAAAATTTGAAATTATTATCCAATTACGTGTTGAATTAATGCTGATTAATGATCTGTTACCGTAAATTAAGCTGATTTAGTTAACAAGTTTAATTGTTCCATTTTTTCCCCATTTTATTCTTAACAGTTTTTAAGTTACCATGTATCATTTACCATGTATCACTAGATTCTAAAGTATCACGAGACAATAATTTTAAGGGATTTTTAGTAAATACTAAATTTGTCGGGACAGAGTGTAATTATTGAATTACACTATGGGATTCCTTAAATTTATACTTAAAAATTATGGAAGGAAAGTATTTTAGTTTCTTTAAATTAATATTTATTTTGAAAATTTTAAATTCGAAATTCTTAAAATCGTACTCTATATCATTTCCTATTAGAGAGTAAACCTAAAGACACAAATGCTCTTTCATTTTTTTGTCTCCTTTTGTAGTTTGAGTAATGCTTGTATTGGTAGAGCGTATAAGAATAATATTAAATAGAGCGTATTAGTAACACTTGTATTGATAGAGTGTATAAGAATAATGTTAAATAAAATATTTCTCATACCTTGTTTGATTTGATTAAAAATAACATGTAGTGTGATAGCCATATCTATTATAGTGTGTTTGTATGAGGAAAGGAACAATAGTTGGAGTCGATTAGGGATGACCTCAGTCACAATTGCAAAACGATAACTATGTCATTTTTTATTTTCTAATGTTATTAAAAATGAATTATAAAATAAAAAACCAGGAGAGGAAACTTGTCGTAGACAGGCACCACAGCTATTTCATCCCCATATGAGAAAAAGTATGAAGTGCACATGGCACAACCTGGCCTTATATTTTTCTTTCATTTTTTCACCTAATGAGGCGTGATTCATGAAGCTTGTCTTTAAGATATTAGCTAGTGGCTTAGTCTCACAAGGTCATTGTATTTGTTTTCTTTTTATAACAACATAGGTTAGGTATAGTTTGTATACGTTACTCTTATTTTAATATTAGTTTACGAGGACGTGCTTCGCACGTGTATTCTATGTGAATTTTTATAGATATGTTATAATGATAAAAATTTTATGGAAATATATATGTAAATTAATGAATAATATAATGTAACAATTACAAAATAAGAATAAAGACTTACGCAATAAAACATTCATAAAAAAACTAAATTAAGAAGTCTGATGGTGATAAAAAAAAAAGACAAAAAGAAACAGATTTAAGAAAGATCCAATGTAAATATTTTTCTTATAAGACTGATGTATTTATAGATGAAAAAATAAGTACAAAATTAGTACATAACTCTCTGAGTTCTTATCGACTCCTTTCATATCCTATCAAAATTCAAGAGGTTTCTTAATCTACTTTAACTATAGAATGAAAATGATAGCCTAATAATCCTGGTAGGGGTTTCATGAGATTAAAAAAGTTGAATTTATATAGATAGAATAGAAGGAATATCAAAAGATATATTAAAGTTTTAGTTTAAATATTTGGAGGTTATGAATATGAAAAGATAAAAGTTATGAATATTAAGAGTATAAAGTTGAATAAGTAATTAACAAATAATAATAAATAAATGAAGAATATGAAAAAAGAAGTTAAAATTAGCAAACCATGTAGAAAGAACAACTAAAGGTCTTATCACGTAATTAAGCGTTAATGAATTTAAATTTGTGAAGATAGAGTCATTCTTTAATAATAATCGAGAGGACATTATCAACGTGTGTCTCCATTTTGCATATTTGCATCCTTTATATTATTAAATTCGTTATTTATCATAAAGGATAATACTTTATCCACATAAATTATATTATTCATGAGAGGGGTTAAGGAAAAAGTTATGAGAAAGAGGAAAAATATAGCAATTTAGTAAAGACTTTTTTTAAAAAAAAAAATTATAATTATTATATACATATATATTATATATGATAAATATTAATTGGATATTTAATTAGAAATCAATCTTTAGAAGTCTAAAAGTCATTTACCTTTTAATTAAATTTATACAATCAAATATTTAAATATTTTATAACAATTTAATTTATAGAAGGGGTAAAACTGTAATTCAACTTTCAACTTTTTTTGTTCATGCTTTTAGTAATATTAGTTTCGGAGAACGTGCGTTGCACGTTTATCCTAAAATCCTTCATATAAAGTTTGTACTGCAAAAAATAAATTTAGACTATATATATATATATATATATATATATATATCAAGAATTAGCTATTATCACATTTGTTACCGACCCAAAGGTATATATGTACATTTCACAAATTTCGTCAATAATTTATTTCCTCGTAAATTTAAAGAATAAAGTTACAATGGTTCATATCAACGTATAAGACACCATTGAATCTCTTCATCTTCATTTTTATTCTCTTCATGGTAATTTTTTTTTAATCTTTCTTTAATTTTTTTGTTAGTGAGTTGGATTCACTTGGACAGAAATCACATCAACTTTTTGTCTTGTAGGATATTCCATTGATTTTCATGAATGCAGTGAGTAAGTTAGAAGTCTTTCTTCTTGTCCTTGTGTAAAAGACTTTTTTTTTATTCGAGAATCCAATTAAGTGTTCCGTCTCAACTTCTATATAATGATTTTTGTATAAAAATCAAACAAAAGTCAATGGAATTACCATTTTACCCCTAAATTAAAAAACTCATATAAAAAAATAATAGAGATAACATGATTGCATGAGAAAGTAGAATACATAATATAGGAAAATGGAGAATCTGCTAATAGAAGATAAAAACGTTACAAATTAAGTGATTCAAGAAGTGACCTTTTGATATCTTTAACTTAACACCTTAATATGAGTGTTTTTTTTTTAAAAAAAAATGGCAATGGTTTAAAGAGCATAATAAAAGTAGGTAACTTAAAAGGCTAAATCATTATTGCTATATTTTTGAAATTATTTATTCCAATGCATGTATATTTTTTTATCTAGTAAAATTTTATCTAGAAATCAATTATGAATGAAGGACAAATTATTTAATAATATCTATCATATGAACTAATATCTAAAACATAATTAACATTTAATTAAATTTATACAATCAAATATTAAATATTTATAACAATTTAATTTATAGTAAGGGTAAAAGCGTAATTCAACTTTCAACTTTTTTGTTCATGCTTTTAGTAATATATGATAGGGCAACTTTCACATATAGCAAACAAAAAAATCATATTTGTATAATATAGCAAACTTTGAATAATTGCGCTTCATAGCAAACATAAAAACTGTATAATTCGCTATACATATAAAAGTGTATAATTCGCTGGCCTATTTCGCTGCAATTGTATAATTAGCTTTGCATACAGTTGAATCGAATTAAAATGTATGTATATTGCATAATTATAAGTGTATAGCAAGAAAATATATGTTTTTTCTCGCTTTATACAAAAACAGAAACACAATATATACACTTCTGTTGTATAAAGCTAGAAAAATTGTATTTCACTGCAATTGTATAATTCACAATTGTATAATTCTTTAGCCTTTTTCTCTGCAATATTTGAAGTAAAATGTTTGTAAATTATATAATTAAGTGTATAACACGAAGATATACATTTTTGCATGTGTATATACAATTTTCTCTCGCTTTATACAAAACAGAAACAGAAATTATACACTTCTGTGTATAAAGCGAGAGAGACGAGAATGGGAGAGTGGCGAGCGAGACTTCTGGGAGAGAGACGCCTGGCAAATTTTTGTCAATGTTTGCTATGGAGCACAATTAAATCAAACCCTAGCTATTCAATTTAATTTAGGTTATTAGTTTGCTATTTTATACAATTTTCCCCATATATATATATATATATGATTTGTTATGTGATTTTTCGTCTTCATTAACAGAAGAACCATACCCTTGCATACGAAAACAAAGATCAACCACTTAGCTATTAAGGCTAGACAAAAGTTATTGGAAAAATTGTAATATAAACAAACCACAGAATTATAATGTGTAGCAATGTTCTTATTGACAATAAAATGTATCCAGTATCCCAAGATGGTTTGTAAATATACTCTGGAGGACATTGTCAGTGAATTATGTACCTCAAATTGGGATGCAAAAAAGCTTCTTTTTTTTTTTTAAACGACGAAGATGTGAAAAATAATTACATATTTAATGTCCCTGGTATTGACACCTCCCAGTTTCATCTGCCACAGTTACTCTTGACCTTCACAGAAGTTACTTACAAAATTGCAAAGGCTGCTTCGTCGTGTATGTTTTATCTATGGCATGTCAACCGTCTCATGATCCGGAGTCTTGTATGTGAAAGCTGATTCATCACTGGATCGCCTTTTGACCACACTTGCTCTTTGCATTAACCGAACCAGTGCTTGCACAACTTCAGACATTGGGGGTCGAAACTCTGGTTCAGGCTGTACAGGAAATAGATGTCAAAAGTTGTTACCAAGGAGAAAACAGTCGCATTCAAATTATTGCAAGTAAAGTAATTTACTTTAGATACGTCAATGAGCAAGTATTCATTATAATTTTGTTGAGTCAATCAGATTTTTCTTCGTGGGTCTTAGATCAAGAATAGCTTGATTAAGAATCTCTCATTCAAAGACCAAGACCCAAAGCCATTCTGGACCATAGTGTGCAAGGACTTGCGCCGGAAGTTCCCAAACTAACTTAATCAAGATCGGTGCTCTCGCCATACCAAGACTCACCGAGCATGTGTAAGAAAGGTCATCTATTTGCTGAAGCGCATTGATTCACTTCAGCACTGAGACATGAGCAAACTCAGAGTGCAGGCAGTCCCAATTTATCCATGCCCCTAAATTTGGACTTATATAGAATGCAAAAACTGGTAGTGTCATTTATTTGACGGGTTTGAGCATCAAGTTTGGTCCTTAGTGTGTAAATCTTCTATGATCATCGACTTTCGCTTCCATCAAAGATATTTTAGAAGTGGTTTCATCTTTTAAGCTTCACATGTTAACAACTGTTACGCTCCAAATGAAAGAACATGCAAGTAAAGCTCACCTGAACACAGAGTGCAATAATATCAGCGAAACGGGACAAAGACTTTGCAGGATACATGCCATTTAGTGCAGGATCAACCATTTTTGACAAGGCATCTATATCATGGAGTTGAGGCGTAGCCCATCTCACAAGGGACTGCTCTGATCTCACCCTTGAACTATATGATTTTTAACAAGAATCAAGTCATTAAAAGAATTCAATAGTGTAAGTTAACTAGCAATGTATTGAAGATCTAGTTTACCTATCAAGTGGCTTCCTTCCTGTTAACAACTCCAACATTACCACACCAAAACTATATACGTCACTTTTTACAGTGTATATTCCAGATAAAGCAAATTCAGGAGCGCTATAGCCGAATGAACCAATCATCTGTGTAGATGACACCTGTCAACATTCAGAACAATTTTAGGCAATGCCCATAACAGAATCAATTAGCCTTCCCGCATTAGCTTCCTTCACCCGAGCTTCTGTACAAGGAGGTTCTCTTTTCACAAAAATAATTCACCTGAAAGTTTGTGCACTGTGGTAATCCAAGTGTTTAAGCACCTAACAAGATTGCTCCAGAAGAATAAGAAAACAATGCTAAGCTGCCACAATCAGAATTGCCAGTCTCATGACTAAGTCTGTCAAGATCTACCTAGAAATAGTTGCTTATAAATATTGCTCCTACTACAGTACTAGGTAAGTTGATTGACATCATCTCATAAACATGATATGCATCACTACCACCCAAAATTATTAACGCCCTCCGTTAAAACAACGACGTCGATTAAATCTTCTTTACTCACTCACCTGGCGTTCTGTGTTGGGAGTCAAAGCTGCTAACCCACAATCTGATAAATGGGGATTGAGCTCTTCATCTAGTAAAATATTTGCGGATTTGAAGTTTCTATGTACAACAGAAGGTAGACAGACTTCATGCAAGTACCTGAAAAGAAGACATTCAAGTTTTAAGCTAACTCAACAAGAGAAGGGCAAGACAAGTAAAATACTATACAGCTATAACATACTCTAAAGCTCGAGCAGTGCCAAGTGCTACTCTAACCCGGGCATTCCAAGTAAGCAATTCGCTCCTCTCATCAGCAAAGTGCAGCATATCATGCAAGCTACCATTTGCAACATGGTCATAAACCAGAAGACGCTGTCCATGCTCAGCACAATATCCTATCAATTGAACAATGTTTGGGTGTCTCAGCCTTGACATATTTGAGACAGCTTCGAGAAAGTTATCTTCCTCCTGCAGCGACAGTGCTGCACTGTCGATCTTTTTTATGACCATTATCTGGCAAGGACAGTTCAAAAGATCAATTCAGATTTTCAGTTGGCACCTTCCTTAGAAACTACATGAATAATAAACTAAAAGTTTCCTCATCAAAAATGTTGTTGACATATGAAATTCTTAAATCATTTATTGGGACACAGTTGGCATCAAGTTTGGAGCAGAAAAACAGTCAACACAATTGGTTCATTCAAAAAGAAATAACCAGCAGCACATCCAATAATAAACCACAAAGTAGAAGATATATAATGTCAGACTTTGAAACTACTAAGAATATTTTTGCTTAGGATTGCATGATGTAACCAAAGGACAAGGTTATAGTATCATAGTTAAATCAGGCTGAGAAGACAAGTGAGATGACCATCAAAGTGACCATATCATTACACCTATCCATATAAAAGCAAAGATGTGACCAGGCCACCCAGAGGAGTGAACAATTGACATGTGTTCATCAGAATGTCCTACTGTGGGCAATCAACTTTGCGAAAGACCTAAAAGAGCAAGTTCAATCAAAGAGTATAAAGGACTTAATCTCAGTTAAAAAAATCACCTCAAAACCAGATTATGTACTAGCAAGAGGACCCAATCCTTAAACTCCCATGCGAACAGAGTATCAAGAAGTCTACTAACATCTACTCAGGTTTAGTAACACATAGATCAAGTATGTACCCTTTTAGTGTTTGCCCGGTTTGACAGATATTGTGAAAGAATCTAAGGGTTCAACCATAACGTTAAGGCAATGGATAAAGTAGGACAAGAACCTTATATTCTACTTTGGATGCCTTTGTTAGAGTGGGTAAAAGTCTCACATTGGTTGAGGAATGGACTAGTGGTCTCCATATATGGACTTGGGCAATCATCCCCTCATGAGCTAAGCTTTTGGGATTGAGTTAGACCCTGGTGCCATATCTTTGCCAGGTCCATCTCTGATTGGACCACATCTCCATTTGGGCTCCCGGTAGAGGGTAAAGTCCCACATTGGTTGGGGAATAGGCTGATGGGTCTCCTTATACGGACTTGAGCAATCCTCCCCTCATGAGTTAACTTTTGGGGTTGAGTTATGGTCGGGTACCATATCATTACAGCCTCATTTGCCCGAGGTTGGACATTAGGTAATGCAACATTGTCCCACACGTGTAACGGCTTGATTCTATGTTAAAGCATCTTAGCAACAGGGTGATAGGTGGAGTGGCCAACATCTTTATATATCCCTTTTGATGTCCTTATGTATCTGATGAACATTATATAACTCACAAGTATGTGTTTCTCCAAAGCATCAAAAATGAAAGACGTCCATGAGAGACCGATTGAATTTATTCAATATTGTTCAGCTTCAAATAGTTTTGAATGCACATCACGAGTAGGAAACGTAAGAGTGACAACATTAAACGTCTGAAATTACCTTCCCATTAGGAAACTCTGCCCTATAAACACGCCCAAGAGATCCTTCACCAATGAGATTTTCTTGACTGAAGCTGTTTGTTGCTGTTTGCAATGCAGCAACAGTATAAGCAGATGCAGTTATTGGAGACTTCACTCTCCTGACAGATCCATTCTTTCCTTGTATCATTTCAACAGTCACCTTTTCGGTAGGTGGGGGCTTCAAGTCAGCAACAGCAACCACAGGCTTCGCCCTTTGCTCTTGTACCTCCATATTCACTAAGATTAAGCAGAAATACATGAGAAATCAGCGAAGTTCGTACCAATTTCCAAACTAAGATGGCACATCACAACACAACTATTAGTCATCTGAGGGTATTAGCACCAATGACAATATTGTGTCAGGAAGGGACCAAGTTAAGGGAACACACCTTTATCTGTGCCAACTGGAAGACTTCCTGTAGAGGGTCTTGTAGCAATTTCCTTGCCCTTGCCCCTCCGGAAGCAAAATACAAGTGCTACCAGAGCAAAAAGAATTGCAAGAGAAGATCCAAGAGCTATGCCAACGATAGCTCCAGTTGTCAATCCCTTCTTTTTATCACCATTTTCTGGAGATGGGGGGCCATCAGAACCTGGTCTTGTACGTGAACTAGGAGGAGAATGGCTACGGTTGTGGCGAGATCTTCCAGGAGGAGGTGCAGTGTATGGTGGTGGGGGAGGAGCTGGACCATTTGCAAAGGAATTCCCATCGTATCTGTCATGTTAGATGTTATGTCACACCCTTTGAAACCGTAACATTCTAAACCATGTAAGAATATATAGGATGTGAAATCACTTACATGAAGTTGGGGATAGATAGGAGCTCATTTGGGATCCATCCATTAAAATGATTCTTTGCAACATTTCTGCAAAAAGGTTTTTTTTTGCCCATAAAACACTCTACTGGCATTGAATAAAACTAGCTAAGCCCATCAATTCAAGAAGAGGTATTGAAACTTACAAATTAGTCAAAGGTAGATCAATCAGGATATTGAGAGGGCCACTTAGCTGATTGTTTTCCAGATGACTACAAGAGATGCCAATTTCATGGGCAAGTCAAGTAACGGAATAACAAATCCTATTAGTAGAAAATTATTATGCTTACAGTGTGGAAAGATTTGTCAACGAACTGAATGAAGAGGGGAGATCTCCAGAAAAATTATTTGAGGACAGATCCCTGCAGTAGCAGCAAATCAGTGAAAAATTATAACTATTAGATAGTGAAACAGATGTTGTAAGGACATGAGGAATCAATATAGCCAGAAAGCTCTTTGTAGCAGGGATACTGAGCTCTAATGTAGGTTTACTTAAATGGGATTCTGAAAGAACCAACAAATGAAAACAAAAGGCAACTGAAAGCTTCAAAGAGGAGCAGGGCACCTATCCTAATACAATCAAAACGAATTCCCACATAAAAAGGCTACGAAGGGAAATAAAATGTTGGACTTTACAAGCCTCCAGACTTCATTGTTCATTGAAATTAAGCAGATAATGATTCTAAGAGGCATTTGAATATGATTAGATCCTATATTTGTTTTGAGAACATATTTGGAAGCAGTCGTGTCTGTACATTGCAGGCACTTCAAAACAAATGAAGGGCCGTGTACTGTGGGTCGGAGACACCATGGTGCTAAGAATTCAAGCTAGTAACTGGAATTGGACTGGTGTAGAAAAGAAGTCCTTCAAGTGTGGCAATGTATTGAACTCTTTTAGAGAAAAAGAAGAAAAGGAAAAAAAATTACCAGAAAGGATCAATCAAGTAAAAATTAAGTAGAACACTTACAAGGTTCCCAGATCAGAGTGGTTGCTGAACAATTCTCCAATTGTTTGAGAGAGTGAGTTATGGCTAAGATTCCTGAAAAAAAGCTATTTTAAATAGTTGCCTGAAATGATTCAATAGAATAAAGAGAAAACCAAGCAAATGTTATTTTTGTTTTGGAAAGTGCCTGGTGAGACTGGTCACTCACAGATAGCTAAGTGTAACCATGCCAGCAAAGGAATACGGAATGTTGCCACTTATATTGTTGTTTGCAAGATTCCTGCATTGACAATGATTATAGTTCCAGTGGGACAATCATAAACCAGGACGTTTTCAAACAAACCAAACACATAGCAAGGAGTCAACATTACAGGCTAGTGAGATTGGGTGGAAGCTGATATGGAATAGAATCATGAATGTTGTTGCCGCTCAAATCCCTGAAGACAACAGATATCAGAAGTTCAATTTTATTGTGATAATAGGTCCTCTAAATTATCCTTTTACCGCTAAAAGGACAAGCTCTTACAAGTTCTTTAACGAGGTAAGACCATTTAGCATGTATCCCAACGTTCCATTGAGTCCCAAATCAGGAATTTGACTGTTTCAGCAAGAACCAGCTATTGTATCAATCAAATCATAACTAAAACGTATGATGACGCCCACAAAGCTAATGCTATGTAAACTTACATTGAAACAACAGAAGAGGCCTGACAAGTGATTCCTTTCCAAGACTCACCACAGGGATCGCCACCATTCGACTTCCAATTAGAGAGCTGTGAAGGATTATTCAGTGAAGCATACAAGACCTGAAGAGCTTGCACTGCAGATTACAAGAGTCAGGCAACGACAAAGCCAGAACATCTCTCCAACAAGAACCAAGATTCAATATTTATCTTATCAAGATTCAACAAGAAAAGCCTCAATGTTAAGCTAGTGTTGGCTCTGAAACTAATTAAATACAAGCAAGACGCCAAGAAAGGGCAAGAGATCATATTATCTTATCAAATCAAACAGTTTAAATTCATTTGCATGCGTTCTCACATTATAATCACAAAAAATCCCAGCCATATAATTTTTAGGACAAAGATCAAGAATCCATTTTTTGGTACCAACTCATCAATCTTGACTTGCATTGACTCGGAAACCCAACAAAAAGGGGAATAAAATGAACCCCAGAAGAAGGGCAAACAAATACATTACCAAATCAGGCATTCAAACAATCACAAGAAATGTGCTCTTATATCACAACATTCACAGAGTGGCAAAACCAAATAACAAAAAAAGCCTCTTCCTCCAACACATTCAAGAAAACAGAAAAACACCCAAACCACTAAGCTCAAAATCGATAATGAAGGTCTAAAAACGGATCCAAGATTTTCAACTAGTGAAGAAACTCACAATCATTCGGATCAGTGTTTCCTTCCGCAACAAAAGATGAGTAAAAACCCACTGCCACAATCACCACTAGTGGCAAAAGGGGGAAAAGGGTGTCTTGCTTACAGCTATTTCTATTCATTTTCTGTTTTGTTCGTTCTTGTTAGTCAAGAATTAAAGGGGTTGTCCAGAAACACAGGTAAGAGGAAGAAGAAGAAGCATGGCGAAAGAAAGACAGGGAAATGACAAGAAGGTAACATCGTCAGTAGTGGTAGGTGTCACCATCGTTTAGAAACTCTCCGATTCCAAGCTTTCGTTTTAATGAAGAGAGAGAAATTTATACAAGACTCCACTGGCAGTGTGTATCTATAGGTGTCGGCGAAAAATCAATAAAAAGATTAGAGAAACTACACTGTAGTTTGTAGTAGCTTTAATTAAACAAAACTGATTAATTAGAGAACTCCGCCTAATTGCGTTTCTTTAAATTACACTCCCTCTAATTACTCCATCTCCTCCTAATCACTCTTTCCAACTTTCACGTAACATAGCAAGTAATTTTAAATTTTTATAAAACATAATTAATGTATTAAAATTTAGATAGACAAGTAAAATGATATTTTTAACGGTCATCAATAGTTCGAGATAAAATTAATAACTCACTTCTAATTTAAAAAATTTTCAAATATTTCTGCTTAACCTCTTGCGATATCTTTTATATAATTTTGATATTTAATATATATAAAAAATAATCTCTTTATCTTTAAAAACAATATGTTATTGTTGATAAATTATAACTAGTCTCGAATTCCAAGCAAAATGATCCATTTGCTTCCTTAGAATTCAAATATTTAAATTAATTATTAAAGAATTTTGAAGTTATTTCTACAGACTTCTTATATTATTTCTTACTAATTTTTATATTAAATAAACATATTCAAAATAGCATTTGTTGTAAACTGAACCAAATATCACAAGTGCACGTAAAAAATGCAAAATAGTTTAAACGAACATATAAAATGAAAGTAATAATAATGAGGAGAACTATCATAGGGACGACCAAAATAATTTATAATGAAAGGCACCTCTATATAGTACTATATTTTTGTCGTTTACAATATAGAATTATTGCTTTATAAAGGTTAGATGGTACATATTTATTAATGCATCCTTCCACATTTTAGGATAATAATTTTAATTAACATTTTATGATATATTATTTTATATCATTAATATGTTAAAGATTGAAATTTATAATACTTTATATTAAAAAAAATATCAAATTGATTTAATTTAACTTTTGAAATTTTTAAATTAACTTATAAAAATATAATATAACAGTTAAAAATGGATAAAGATAGTAAAATTTTCACTAAAAGTGAAGAAGTGACATGGAAATTTGTCTTTGCATGATCTACGGTGCGTATTAAGAGTAATTAATTTTTTGAAAAGCATAATATCCAAATACGTCTTTTAATTTAAAATTGAATTTATGCTTTTTAATTTTGAATCTGCACAAGTAGACACTTAAAGTTATATAAAAATAAATAAATAGACACACATGATCTTCTATTTTTTGTCTTATGTGGTGTCCTACGTATATTGTATCATGTAGGACTCATGTGTTTACTTGTTCAACTTTATACAAGTTTGAGTAAGTGTCTACTTGTGCATATCAAAAATTAGACGACAGAAACGTAAAAGTATGCCAGATTAAATGACACTTTTATGTATTATGCCTTTTTAAAATTAAGAAATTTATATTTGAATTCACTTTGAAGGGTCAAGCAATTGAAAAATTATTTTTTGATTTGAATGGCGGTGAGATTTGATCTTAGGATTGTATATGCTCTAGTAGACCATGTTGAAGTGTGTGACAATCTCATTTAAAATCTCAAACTATTTAGAGAAACATATTTTATTATTAGATTATTCTCAACAATTTCAAATGCGATATTTAATTAATTAAAATATTTTCTAAAAAAAAATCTAATAAAAATAGTAAACACTTCTCTTGTCGTCTTTCTCTCCGCCCACCCAACACCCCTAACCTCGATCTTTCAACCATCTCTCCTCCGTTACCCTCGAACCCCTACTTTCTATCTTATCCCGCCTATTTAATTTGATCATATATAAATATTATTAAAATAATATAGATATTATTAAAATAATATTTTTTTTATTTATATCATATGCATATTGATTAAAAAATTAATAGACAATGAACAGACATATATATATATTTTGTATCCGATCTATATGCATATCGATTATTAGAAAAAATAAACACACATAAATCTAAAGGTTATTTGTGTAAATGTTTGGTATGAACTAGGAACTAGGAAGTCAACCTGCAAGTAACATCTTCGCAAGGGAAAATGGATACTATTACGTTAAATGAATGATGTTTTTAGTGGACGAAAGTACCCCTCAATGTAGAGAGTTACCGCTAATTACCGACAGTAGTATTTGGAATAAAAAATAAATAAATGGGCATGTGGAATAGGACTAGACGACTTTCTTTCAGGGGGCTTTATTCAAACTTTGAAAGGGACTAAATTGTAATGATGTGAGTTTGGAGGGGTATCTTTTTGGCATTATTATAACTTTTTCTTCTAATTTCAACATCTTTGACTTCCTTTATTTGATCTTTTTTAGATTTGACTTTCCTTTAATTTGTTTGAAAACCAAATTGTGGTCCATCAAATAGATCATAAAGAACTTCTTTACTTATATTATTTCCTCTAATTTTTTGAATATCTATACATAAATACTTAAATTTGCGTAAAATTAAATAAGTAAGCTTTTATGCAAGATATTACATAAGAAAATTGTGATTGTTTATTTAATTTTATAAATTTTAAATGTGTATTCATACACATTCATAATTTAAAAGTTATGATTATCAATGAAAATTAAGTTAAAAATTATGTTTATATATTATGTGTGATAATAAAAGTAGTTTTAAGTTTCATGCACGATATATTTCATGTAAATATTTTTAAAATACAAAATTCGAAATTTTAAAACCAAACTATGTTATGTGCTATAACATTTAAGATGACTTGACGTTAGTATTAAAAATTATTTTAATATTTTGTTCATTTTAAAATAAATGGTTTTCTTTTTAATCTTTTTATGTTATTTCAAAATAAGTGATGTTTTTACCTTTAGAAAGATATTGATGATATTTTTTCAATTTTTCTTAATAAAGAGAGTTATACATAATAAGAAAGAGAAAATACTAAAGTACTCACATTTTTTTCAAAGTATTTAATGTGGATAATTTAACAAAAATATATTTTACTTTTTAGGATATTGATGATATTTTTTCAATTTTTCTTAATAAAGAGAGTTATACATAATAAGAAAGAGAAAATATTATTGTATTCACATTTTTTTCAAAGTATTAAACGTGGATAATTTAAAAAATATATACTTTACTTTTTAGGAATAATTTTCTTCTTAAAGAAATAGCGCCTACATTTAAAACATCAAAGTAGTTGGTGATTAATAGAAGATTGATAGAAAAAAATTAAAATCCATGAAGTAGAGTTGTTGAAGATTCTTGGAGTATGAATTTTACAAGTGTTTTCTTCAAGCGTAAACAAGATTGTAACTTTTGAACTGATGATTTGACATATTTTACAATCTTTTTGTGAAAAGTCATTTATAAGTTTTTAATAATATTATCACATATTTATATTTAATTACATTAATTTATTATAATTAAATATTTTGATGGGTGAAAATACATGTCCATTATGCATATTTAGTCTTGACAGATTATATATAAACGCATCTCACAAATTTATTAATTTGGTGTAAATATTATAAGGATGAATTCAACAGTACTACAATGGCATCAAGTATAAATTAATTGTGTAAAATCTATTGAAATTGTAATAAACAATAGATATGAACCCATAATTTAAAAAATATTGTCCAATGTTCTTAGTTATTTATCCATTTAAGAAATCAATAATTGACATAGTAAGTTAATTCACCCCTATTAATTATGAAGTAGATGAATTAAATATTTAATATTTTTAAGAAGTTCTATCTTTTTCAAAGTAATTAATTGAAGTTATAATATGTAAAAAAAAATTGAAAAAATTGGCCTTTTTTTCATTAACAAAATAAACAAGTAATAAGAACTACTTAAGAAAAATGTGGACAAGTAATTAGGGACAAAGGGAGTAATAAACTTAATAGTATGAACCTTAAATATTAAGTCCATAAAACTTAAATCTTAAATCCGCATTCCCTCAATTATTATCGCAACACATTTATCGTTTGGTACAAAGACTAATAATGCATGGATTAGTAATGTTGGGTTTAGTAATGCATGATTTAATAGTGCAGAAATTAGTAATGTAGGGTTTAATTTTTATCAAGTGTTTAGTTCATTGTTTCCCACCTCATCTTGTGTTTGGATTAAAACTTTATATAAAAAAAGTTTCTTTTCAATTAGACCATTGAATTATTATGTAATTGGATTAAGGTAAATAGTTGTCGGACAATATTAATTTTTTATGGCCTTTTAACTAGTTATGAGAAGAACAATTTTATTGTCATGTTTGCCTTTTTTTCCCCACTTAAATTATTTGAGGATATATATACACACACACACACACATACATTCAATTAAAATCACAAACGTCATGTGGTGATATATTTACCTATTTAATTAATTTATGTTAAATAACTCACATTTCAATTATTATATTGATTTATTTAGTAACAAACAATTCACTCTAAATAATTTGTAAGCTAATTTATTAAAATAAATTTACTAGTACAAATATAAAACATAAAATAAAGAAAAATTAAAATAATTTGAAAGATTGTTTTATTTTTATATAGACTTATCTCATGATATTGTATCTTATATGTCTTACTAATACCTCCAGTTGGATGGCATTAGTAATACATCCTATAATATCATATAGGAGGTATAACTAATCCACATAGTCTCAAATTTCTGTTGAAGAAGAAGAAAGCTGACGATTGGAATAGGTCAAACACAGCTAACTGGTCTATTTGCAGCAAGTGTTGATGAGGAAGGAAGCTGACGATCGAAACAGGTCCAACTATGCTGACTGGCGAGTTTACATCACTGCTATAGAATTAGAGTCGCATTAAGATTAGACTAATTATAATAATGCCAATCATACTACTAAACAATGTCAAACATAATATATGAACTATTTATTTTAATGCAACCTATAAACAAACCCTTCACGTATACTTATCACATGCTAAAGACTTGTGTGATTATGCACCACTAGCTTAATTATGCAATTTATTTTGAGCCTAGTTAAATTAAATAAAAACTATTTTAGTTATCGATAACATAATTAGAGTTAAAGGAGCATAAAGAAATTTTTGTGTTCGA